TACATCTCACGGTCTTTTCATTACAACAAGATCATGACATCGCTCAACTTACGACACCACCATCCACTATATTGCCGGGAAAGGTGCGTAGTCCAGAGGCATGTTACGTATAGGCTAAGCAACTACCGCGTAGGTGTGAGAAGAGACAATCTAGTGACGATATATTACACGTACGCTATTTCTATTTGGGAATTCGGTAGCGTGCTTTTCCTTGGAACTTCAGCCGAGACAATTCAACCTGTAATTTTTTTGGGGGAAAATAAAGATTGCACTTAAGCCTTGGCCTGCCTAAAACGGTTGCTGACAAGGTCGGTCCATCGGTCGGTCGGTCGGTTGGTCGGTTCCTCAGAGTCTTTGCGCAACCAACCACGGGGGATCGGCCATGAAATGGACGATACCTCATTTCTGAGATCATATTGTTTTACCAGCCGGGATATTTAGATGGAGATGTTTGAACAAAGAGCAGAATATTGCACCTAGAATCGAGGGTTCGTTTTCTTTCCTGCAGGTTTCGCGTTTTGACCGTGAAAACAATTTTGAGTATTTATGAGTCACCAGTACAAAAATTATAAACAGTCTTTATTTCCTACCCATAAATATTTTTTTGATGCTAGCTGGCTGCTATTTGCCACCCCACAAATTATATGGGTACAAAATTTACGAGATTCTCAAAACGCGAGTATATGCGATATCATACCAACTAGTGATAATTAATACCCTGGGGAAATTTACTTTGATGATATTTTTTCTGGTAATGTAAAGTTACTTCCCAATCATATTTTAGATGGTTTATTACAAGATCTACTTCACAGCATGGTAACAAATGTTATAATTGCTGCAGAAGCATCACAGTTTAGTGTGCTGAAAAGCCTGGTATTCCTATATTTAGCCAAAATTTAGATCAATTTTACTCCCTTCGACTAGCCAATTTTGTACAGTTTTTGTGGCGGCTTTTCTGTTACTTGCGTAAGTCGAGCACTATTAGCTCTCCTTACACAAGTTGAATACAGCATTTACATCAGCTGTTATTCTAAGAGATTCTTTTTCTTTGCTGCACTTCCTGGTGGTGCTGAATCTCTCGTAATAGAAGCGTTCCGTGCGTTGATACCCACGCATTTCAGAAAACTCCGATTTCATCGGGTGCTTGGGCACAAAGGGCTGTTTTTCAATAAAATTGAAGATTTTTGGCAAATGGGTAATAAGTAGGCTGATTTTATCATACTTCCAATATTCCACTTATGAAGTTGGTGCTATATTTCGCAGTCGTGCGATTATGGAAGCGTTTCGAGATACATCACTGACAAACTCTGCACTTTGTTTATCTGTTAAGAAAACTATTGATTGACGAAGAAAACAGACCGCATCGTTCCCAACTTCTTTTACTGTGGTGCCTGCCTGCACGCGTCATTTCCTTTTCTTTTTCAAAGTACTCCCGGCCCGTAGTTCAGCTGCACAACTCGAGCTTGTAGGCTTGGTGTAAGTATCTTCTTAAAAACTTGCTTTCTCAGGGTTTCACTCGTACAACTTGGATGCTTCTATCTCAACTAAGGTCGACGTCTGCAATTAAACCTGACGGCCAAACACTTCTACAAATGCCAGACACCTTAATTATCGCCATATCATGCACTTGCAGACTGCTGCTGGAGTGTGCTGGATGAAGGTGAAGCGCCCACACTTCTTGCATAGTCTTTTTTTCCACCGTATTCATCCATGATCTGACAGCTTCTGAAGGTTGCTCAGCTTCCTGCTGCCACGCGGAGCAGCCTCAGCACTTCGACCTTCGTAGTTGTCTGCCAGTAGTGCAGTCTCGGCCTGAACACATGTATTTGCTCTTTCCCATCAACTTGAGTTATGATGACTTGGAGTGCCAGAGTCTGTTCCACCCCGAATCCCAGCAAGTTCATCAAGTGAAGTCTTCAAATCTTTGCGACATGTCATGAGCAACAATGCGAATTGAGAGCTCGTACACACGTTCAAATGTTTCGGAAATTTATATATACTGTCCTAAGTCGGAGTGCTTTATCAAAGCACAGCGTTGCAGGCATATTCCAACGAACCAAAAGCCTGCAGAGTGCCAGCGAGAAGAAATTATCGAAAATGTCACTTGTCAAGTCATAGTACACTACTCTTGTGGATTTAAATGCTCCGTAAGCTTGCATGCTCGCATTGACGGAAATATGAAGGTTTGTATTAAGGTTCAGCCTTTGTGGCCACTTGTGACGATGTGCCGACCACGACTTCAAACTTCGCAATACGAGATTCTTCTCTTATAGCTTCTCGATATGGCACATAAAGGGTAGCTCAATGAATTAGAGCGTTTCCAGGTACCACTTCAGGATGTCCTAAATTCAAGCATTGCTGAAAGACCGTGTTGTATTGCTTCAATAATCTTTCGACGGCCTTTCAGTCAGTTTCTACAGACATGTGAATGCGTCAATGTGGTTGTTTGCATACAGCTTTTTCTGAGCTTCTTTTCAAGCAAGTAACCCGATGTATTTGTCGTCTTTTTTGCTAATAGTTCTTTGAAAGCGTGGAATCAACTGATATAAGGGTAATTCACTAAAACCTGTGATTCCTGCGGCTTGAAGTTGACAAAGCATTTGACGAATCTGTGAGATCATTACATCGTCACTAATTTTGTTTCGCCTCACAAAACACAGACGACGAGGTTAGTGTCGTCGTCAAGTGAGTGATTTTGACGACTGGTTCTTTGCAGTATCCATCAAACACTGTGTTGATTGTGACCAATCCTGGAGTTCTGTGCTCCTCATGGCTCCTCTTGTAGTAATGTTGTAGTAAACCTTTCACAGATGGTCAGTTGCTATCAAAAAGCTGATGCCAGCCTTAGTCTCCAACTCAAGAGAATTCTTTTCAATAAAGTTCTCTTTGCAACGCAACTTTTGTAATAGGTAGCCGTCAAATGTTAGCGATACAATGTCGTCACAGATAAGTGGTACGACTATTGCACGAAGGATGGGAATGTAGTTAGAATACGCACTGGCTGCGCAGAGTGAATTCAACCACTTTTCGTTTTCCCACCGCCATTGGAGATACGTTGCGAAGCGTTTTGAATGCCACCCGTGTGTCTCCGAGTACCTCCGAATTCAGTTTCGCAGCGAGATCTTCCGCGATAAACTATCTTCAGCCTCTACCATCGAGAATGCCTCGAGCATATCTTGATCCACTACTTTTGATGAAGGGGCGAAAGGTCTGCAGGTATGCTCCTCCGTCCGTCTATGCGCAACCACTTGTAGAATTTTCTCTGCACAGCACCACGAAGCGCGACGTCCCTGCTGTGATACCTTAGGCATTGGTGGTGACGAAGTTTCCCCTGTAGCCAATTTTCTCACGTAGTTAGGATCACACATACTCGATGCCTACTTTCCGTGGCAAGCTGAGTACGTATCGATTATGTGTGGACCTAACTGCTCGAGGTCCCTGGTTCACTTCCTGGTTTAGCAGCAAAATGTAAAAAAAAACTATCAATAGACGAAGAAAAAAGACCGAATGCCGTTCGTCATTCGCAGCTTCTTCTTTTACTGCAGTGCTCACCTGCACACGTTTATTCCTCCTTTTTGTCAAGAATATCCTTGACGGAGAGCCTTTTGTGAAACACGTAACCTAGATGTATCCATCATCAGGCTGCACTCTCGGGTACTAAATATGGCACCTTCACCACTGCGCGCACTCTGTGGTGAACCGGAAGAAATAAATCATTTCAGTCTTGTAGGTAGTTTACTACAGCAAAAACATCTTTTAAAAGCATAAGTACATCTGTACCGGTAATTTAGTTCTTTTGGAGCCTCTAGTTTTGGTTGGGTTCTTCAATGGGAAGATATGCGTGGCTGTAAGGAAACCAATCATTTGAACTGATCGGTTGACTAACATATGAGCATTGTTATTGTAATATGTCTACACTATTACTTAGGTATAAAAATGAGGGTCCTAGTGTATTTTACTACCTAGCGCTTATATAAAAGACAGATAGCTTTGCGTTTTCTTGTTGCGTTTTAACAGACAGATGTATTTGATCGACCACTATAATTTTGTATGTAATCTATAATCTTTCTATTCTATAACCTCCATTGCTGTAAAATTTCATAATATTTTAAAACCCCTGAATTCTGGGTCAAACCCAAATAGTGGATGTGCACTACAGCTACTAAGTGTACAAGAACAAGAATAGCGTTGCTCAAGGCTGTTAGCCTTCAACATTAAAGGTGTTTTAAAATATGGGTAGGCTTTCTCATACTGATAAACGAAGCAATATCCTCGGAAGCGCCAAAAAATTGCGTTGTAACAACGAAAGAGGATACGCTGGAAAGAGAGAAACCGAGGCTTTGCAACGCTATAGGTTTAATGTAACAGTTTGCTTTCGCTCTGCCAAACAATATTCGTGTTAACAAAAATTGTTGAGGTTTCAAGACCCAAGCACAAAACATGATATTTATGTGGGGATTAGTGAAGGTGTCAGGAAATACTGGCTCTCTGAAGTTCATTAAGACGCACCTAAACCCAAATACATGGTCACTTAGGAGTTCGCATTCATCAAATTGCAGGCACCTTGGCCTAGATTCAATCGCGCCACTCTTGCGTCAGCTGCACAGCACCACACCACTTGATTACAGTGAAAAAGAAGCAATGTAATCAATACAGTAGTATTGTTTCTGTGACATAAACGCGTCCAAAATAGCATATCTGCATAGAAATGTTATTAGCGCGGAAGGGTAATCTTAGAATCTTTAAAGAACTTGCAGGTGTTGTGTTTCATGAAATTCGCTCTCAAAGAAGAGTCGTCTTGGTAATCTTAGAAGATGATGTTCACATATTACAAAGGCGAACTCACCAATTATTTATCACTGTAATTTCGCACATGAATACATAATTTGGGTACACGTACGTAATTTCAAATTTTGGGTTTGTGCTGCCTGTAGCAGCTCTACCGAAATCAACAAGGAGTGCTTCCAGCAAGAGAAGTAAAATCCGCCAATCACCCAACGGCATTTGAACTGTTTATTTAACAATCATTCCGTCACATCAGTTTGTCAATATTTTGTCGAACATTTTCGTCCATCACGCGTCAACTGCCCGTTGCACTCACAGCCTTCTGGGCATTGGCCATGATCACCGCAGCTCTGAAACAAACGTTAGAGGATGCATCACTTACCATGCTGCAACGAGTAAAGCAAACGTCTCTTTGACACGGAAGTGTTTTATGCTGGGGTTCACCACGGCTCCGTTGACGTATTTTTTCACGAAAATTACGTTGTGAATTATTTATAACAAGCTAAAAAAAAAAACGTTTTTAGCTAGACAGCAAACTTATGACCTCTCTCTTGACAGCGTACGACGTGAAACACTAGGCCACGAAGCGTACATTCTTCATCTTGCTAATGGCAAGCCATTTATATACACCCTATGCCTTCAGTGGTTCTCAGAGTTTAGCAACTTCAGCGCAATTTCATCATCAGACGCGAGATGGCGCGAAGGGTGGTTGACCATTGGGCACGCTTCAAAGGTCGTCAACCCACAATTTGAGTTGCGTGTGCCTCCACAGGACGCGGTGAATTGTGCGCGCGCGCTTATCTCGTGGTTGGGACAATTTATAGGTCTTGTATTTCCACCGCAAGTTAGTTTTGAATTTATAGTAGTAGAGAGAACATGTAGTTCACTTTTCATTCTGCCGCTGCGGCGTTTACGAAAGGAGCGTGCTGCTCATCCACGAAGAAGTAAAAATTCTGACAGTTCGTGCTCCTCCTATGTCTACTTGTAGACTCGTTTCGTCTGTCTTTGTATCAGTTTGAGCAGCGCGCTTGCAGAACTGAACTGTGGCAATTGTGAGTGTCTGGTGATTTTGTGCGTCCTCTTTTCTTGAGGCACGCGCTGCAAGTTCCGAGCTGCTGGGCGTTCTTCGCGTTACATGACAATTCGTTGCATTAGCATTCGTTTCTGCACCCTTTAGGCGAGATCATGCGCAATAAACTCTCAGCTTTCTCTGTGAAGACATGTTTATCTTTCTTATTACACCTATTTCTTGACAGAGCGATCAGCCATGGTTTTGTCTACTTTGTGATGTGCTCTTTCTGTCAGAAGTTGTTTTTAGCCATGTTCGTTCAATTTCTGCGCATTCATACTGCACTAAAGCATGAAGGAACACGCTACACAATAAGTTTCGCGATAACTGTATAATGGCCGTTTAAAAATGAGAAAGAAGGAGGGCGACTAGTTGCACGTATGTGAGAAGATTCAAACATGTTGATGTGAAAAAGCGGTTTCGAAAGCATGCAGCAGTTTTACTGGTTTAACAGTGGCGAAGGCTACCAGATGTATGTGTTCCGGTTGTTACAATGTATTCATTCGAATCAGATGAAATTTTTTAGCGTGCGATAGCGCTTTCGCTTCGTCAAAGGAGCTGTCTCTCCATGTGAATAAGCAGTCATACGTTTGCATAACTATGCAGGAAACTTTTCTCTAGTTGCTTCCAATCGCACCCAATGGCAGGTCCTACAAAATCACAGTATTAGTATGATTTGCAGACCTTCTGATCCCGGCAATGTAGAGTCATTGCTTTGACAAGTACCTACATACAGTGTATTCAGGGAAGCGTACTTATGTTTTGACAATTTTGTGTACTTTGTGGGAAAAGTTGGACCTATTCCACTCTCAAAGACGCTTGACCTACGGAGCTGACGGGCCCAGTCCTACTACTTCTTTCGTCGGCGTTCATTACAAGCACCCTGGTTCTCACTCGTTTTCAGAACGTGTGGTTTACCAATATCTTCAAGCGTGACCATGCTGACCCAGAGCCTAGGTTCAAAGGCGCTCCATTAAGGCTGTGAAGCATGTGCGATTGACACATCGCTTCACACGACTTTTCTGCGCAGACCCTGGGACCAGGCTACTTTTGACCCATCGACGACATCAATTGACGACGTCATGACATGACGCCAACATAATGGGATGACTTTGTTGTTTATTTATTTTTCGGCTCACGGAAGAACGCGACAAATCAAGCGAGTGTACAGCTCTGTTCTAAAAGGTTCATAAACGTCGCTGAATATATATATCCCAATGTTTGCATTTCCTATGTTAACACATTATGGCGATCTCGCACTGTGGCGTCGCGCTTAAGCATTGGTTGACGGCCAGCTTTCAATAGGGGGGGGGGGGGCTATCATATTCTTCACGGTGTTCGCCTTTATGGAAAAAGTACAGTGTGTTGTCCTGTTATTATTTTGGCGGAAAAATCGATAAAGAGAATGCTATTAACAGCATGGCACCAGCTGAGAATAAAGCTCCTTCATCTTGGCTAGGTGACGCGAAATAAGACTCCTGCGTAGAACTATTTCAGTTTTACGATATTTCAGCCTTTTCTTTCGTATAAGCTTTACTGCAAACATAAAAATGCTCTGAATTTATTGTTGTGTCTATTACGCTGAGAAACGTCCACAGCGCACCTAATGCTTTTTACAGCGCCACAATGTGCATGCCGGTCCTGATTGATGACCTCAATGTTCACGTCGGAAAGTAATAGAACTTCCCAGTATATACGCTTACACTTGATTTCGTTTTGCAATATGCGGCACAGTATTCATATTGTCACCTATTAGAATATCTTAGTTCTATTGAAGCATCGGCTTAGGACTATATTCGAGAACAGTGGAGGACTACTTAAATGACTTTTTCGTGATATAAAAGTGCATGTAAAAAAGAAGCGGTAAACTACCAGAAAAAGCCGTGCATCAGCAAACTTGTGGTTGAAGAGTGCTCATGTGCTGCGGAAAGGATATGTGCTTAATCGTTCCAATGCCACTCGAAAGCACTGCCAGCTAAGACAGTGCTTAATATATCCTGTGGCATACCACGAAAATATATTGTTCAAATTCATGCTTGAGCAGCGCAGATAACAATGACAATCTATGTAGCGAAAAACAATTTTGGTTGCAAAAAAGCAGCACTTCGACATGAAATGCATTGAACAGCAAAGACGTGAGTCCAATAATGTGTGTGATTGGCTGTAGAGATGACGTAAAAATTCGATACAAGGCGCGGCGACGTGCGAGGCGGTCATCTAGATAATAAGGAGTGCACACTGCATCATTGCTGCTACGTCGGTGGCAAAGCTGCTGACGTAAGGCGTTCTCTGAAACAGAACTCAGGCAGTCACCCGGCGAATGCTACAAACCGGACACGTATGCATCTCTCTTTACATGTTCAGAATTCAAAAAAGGCACATACCCGGGCTGCACATGCTGTGCACATCCGAGGTGCACACTCCAGCACGTTTTATATAAGTGTCACGACTTTAGCGGGGGTCAGGGTCTCCCTCCACGGAAGAAGACTGGCTCCAGCTCCTCACAAGCTCCGCCAAAGAACAGCAGCTAAAGGTTGTCCGAGAGCCCACAAATTCGCCACTAGTCTCAACCTCTCGGCGTTACCGTGGGTTGCGCCTGCATACAATACCCCTGCTGGGGGCACTCTCGTTTTCTCAGGACCAACCGGCGTTCTGTTGAGTCCACGGCTGATGTCACCCACAATCCTCTCCAATCGCCGTTCCAAAGCGTAACGGCAAGCCACGCTGGCGTAGGCCTAGTACTGTCGTCGGCGACATGGCGGTACGTCCTCATCGATGAGGCCTTGCACAATATTGGCCTTCCTACTCTCAGTGAGGACGTGCCGGAGATCGCTACTGACGGACGTTTGAAGACGACTGCGACGGGTGCGTCCAGATCTGCGAAAAGCTGCTGCAGCTCTTTCGAGGAACCTTGCCTGAGCGCCATCAAAGTCAACGGCTATGCCATGGAGTGCCGGCGTCACCGCATTTGGAGCCGAACGCCTTCTGCACCCGTCGACGAAGCGTAGCTGCCAATGCAACCTTCTTCTCCCTAATCACGCTAGCAATATCTCATTGCACTGCAATCTTTTCTTAGGGGCTCTTGTAATGCGCGTTGAGCTGTGCACTCCTTCATGTACGCTCTCGCGGCCCTTCCGCGTGCTTCTCTTCCTGCTTCGTCATCTTCGTTGTCTACGCTATCTCCTTACTCGTGTTCCGCCGCGGTGGTCTAGTGGCTAAGGTACTCGGCTGCTGACCCGCACGTCGCGGGTTCGAATTCCGGCTGCGGCTGCTGCATTTCCGATGGAGACGAAAATGCTGTAGGCCCGTGTATTCAGATTTGGGTGCACGTTAAAGAACCCCCAGGTGGTCGAAATTTCCGGAGCCCTCCACTACGGCGTCTCTCATAATCATATGGTGGTTTTGGGACGTTAAACCCAACATATCAATCAATCAATCATATAAATCTCCTTACTCGTGCCAGTAAGCAGCGCACTTGTTTTCGTGAACTTGAACACGGCAGTGAGCAAGTTACTTTCGCGCATTTCAAAGTAAACTTGCGGGAAAAGCACAAGTTGTGCAAATTCTCGAAGCAGGATATAAGTGGCGAGAGTGGAGGGCAATGCTCTGTGGAGGCGCGTCCGCATCGCAGCTGGTGTGGCGACGACCAGTAAAGCGTGCGCAACGTGCGCCCTTTGCGTTACCTCACTACTGATGACGAGAATGAGCTGAAGTCACTGAGTGCTGGGGACGCCCAACAGTATATGGTGTTTATGGCCTAGTGTTTTCGCGCTCCGCACTGCGAAGTGAGAGGTGGTACGTTGAACACCCGTCTATACAACGTTTTTCATTTAATTTTTTCTTTGCACATTTTAGTTTATTTTGCCACAGAGGTAATATATATAAAACTTCATATCCTTCCCGCTAATACGTCAGCGGAGTCATGGAGGAGCCTGGCATAAAACACTTTCATGTCAAAAAACTTTAATCTTTAAAAAATGAATCAAAAGAATGCCAATAGTTCTATGAAGAGTATTCAGCACAATGAGAACGAGATGTTGGAGGATTTTGGCTGGTAAACGCGGGGCGTGCATGCACGCTAATTTCAGTTTTTTTGTGTCCATGACGCTGCACAGTATTAAAGAATTAAACAAGAGAATCATGGACATTCTACCATGAGCACAAGGATGTAGCTTCGGAGGACATCGGCTTCTTTGGCTTCTGGATGCTGGGGGCATCCCTTTATTTTTTGTTTTTGTTTTCATCCCCATGAAGCTAAACGCCATGTGCGGCAGCTATCTA